GGATAAATACCACGATCATGAAAGACATGAACATAAACATTCAAGAAGCTCAATAAAGTACAAGTAAGATGAACTCAAAGAGATCGAAACCAAGACATATTACAAACTTTCAGAGGCCAAGGAGCAAGAGAATCTTGAAAACAGGAAGAGAGACATGACTCGTTGCAGACAGGATTCTCAGTAAGATCACCAGATTCTCATCGGAAACTCTGGAAGCCCAGAGGCAGTGGGCTGATACACTCAAAGTGCTAAAAGAAAAAAACTATAGACCAAGAATCCTATATCAAAACTGTCCTTCCAATGACATTTTTTGCAGAAATTGAAAAACCCATTCTAAAATTCATATGGGATCTCAAGGGACCCTGAATAAACAATATAGAAAAAGAAGAACAAAGCTAGAGGACTCACATTCCTGATTTCAAAACTTACTAAAAAAGCTATAGTATTGAAACAGTGTGGTACTGACATAAAGACAGACATACAGACCAATGGAACAAAGCAGCCCAGAAATAAACCCTCACAGCTGTGGCCAAATGATTCCGACAAGGGTGTCAAGACCATTCAACGACAAAAAGACAACTTTTTCAACAAACGGTGTTGGGTAAATTGGATATCCACATACAAAAGAATGACACTGGATCCTAACCTAACACCATATATAAAAATAACCTCAAATGGATCAATGATTTAAATGAAAGACCGAAAACTATAAAACTTAGTAGAAAACAGAGGGCAAAAGCTGCCTGACATTGGTTTTGGCAATAATTTCTTGGATATGACATCAAAGTACAGGTAATAAAAGCTAATTGAGTTTCATGGAAATTAAATTTTATGGATCAAAAGACACTATCAACAAAGTCAAAGAACTACCCAGAGGATAGGAAGAAAAATATTTGCAAATCTTTTTTAGTTTTGGAAGTTAGATATTCAACTTCAAAAAAATATCTGATAAGAGATTAATATATAGAATATATTTTAAAAATTCCTAAACTCAACAGAAAAACAAAAAACTTGATTCAAAAACTGCACAAATGCTTGATGATGGGGGGAGTCTAGTAAACATAATGTTCCTCATGTAATTGTAGATTAATGATACCAAAATAAAAAAAAAATTGCACAAATGAGTTGAATAGCCACTTCTCCAAAGAAAATATACAAATGGACAACGGCACATGAAAAGATGCTCAACATCACTGATCATCAGATAAATCCAAGTCAAAATCCCAATGGCGCCACCTCCCACCCACGAGGATGGCAACTATCAGAAAAACAGGTAAGTGCTGACGAGGATGTGGAGAATTTGGAACCCTTGTGCATTATTGGTGGGAATGTAAAATGGTGCAGCTGCTGTGGAAAACATGATGGCGGTTCCTCAACAAATTAAAAATAGCACGCCATATGATCCGGCAATTCCATTTCTAGGTATATATCCCAGAGAGTTGAAAACAGAGTCTCAAGTACGTATTTTGTACTCCCATATTCACTGCAGCATTATGCACAAGAGCTAAAACATGGAAGCAACCCAGGTTTCCATCAGTGAAAAATGGATAGGCAAAATGTGGTATATACATATAATGGAGTATTATTCAGCCTCAAAAGAAAAGAAGTTCTGACAATTTCTGAAATTCTGTCCAACTAAAACATGGATACCTTGGTCACATGCTAAGTGAAATAAGCCAGTCACAAGAAGACAAATACTGTATGAAGATTCCACTTACATGAGACACTTGTATAGTGTCAAAATCATAAGAAGAACTGTGGCTGCCAGGGGAGGGAGACTGGGAGGTTACTGTTTAATGATGTAGTCTCAGTTTTACAGGATGAAAAAGTGTTCTGGAGATGGATGGTGGTGATGGTTGTACAGAATTATAAATATACTTGACTTCATACCATTGACAGTGTCTACACAATTCTTAATCATACACTTGAAAGTGGTTAAGATGGCAAATTTTGTTTTTTTTGGGGGGTGGAGTATACAAAAAGTCTTGAATTTTACTGTATGTAAATTATATCTCAATAATCTGATTTAAACAAACAAAATGTAACTGGAAAGTTTTGTAGGTCAATGAAGAAATTTAGATTCACTAAATAAAACACACAGATGAAAAATTAAGTAACTTATTTTAGATGTGATGTGCTTTATTCAGTAAGATACTTTGAAGTCTACTTTATCAAATCATATATATTATGATTAGCATAAATTCTCAGCTTATTTCACTTATAAAATAGTTAATATTTTCTATTAGCAATATATAAATTTAAACTTATAATTATAAATGTTAGATTTCAACTTCAAAAAAAAAGTAACATATCTATACCCTAATTCATGGTCTTTGTAGCTCAAACTATTTATCCTTCATATACTGCATTCCATTTAGTATTTAAAAATTATTATCCTGGGTCTACTGTGAGAATATAAAAATTATCTATCTAGTCGGCCTGTCAGTAAAGGAGAATTTTAAAACAAAGACGTTTAAGTCTTTATGTATACAGCAAATAAATATAATAAAACAAGTAAATTACTACATCTCCTAGAAAAACTTCTAAAAGTTCCTCTTATCTCCTATAAAATTTTTAAATGTGAAAAGTTATAGTGACAGATTAGTAACAGACTAAGGAGAAATACTCACTCAAAAAGTTGCTGTGTTTACCAATTACTCTTTAATTAAGATTTATTTATTTATTACAAATAGTTAGCCATTCCCCATTGATATGTCTAACACCACTGCAACTAAAATTAGTTTTTACTCTAACATGGTATTATTTTGATAGATTATAATAATTCAAATCTGTCGAGGTAAAATTAAATTTCTATCTGCCTATTACTCTATCTCATAAGAACAGCTGGAACACATTTAAAAAGTATTTTGATATAGTCTGACTTAAAATATAAACTACACAACACATGTGTAATTCCCTTAGAGGGCCTCCGAGGAGCCCCCTAAAAAGATGGGCAAAATATTCCAGAATACTGAGATTGAAGTATAGTCTGGGTACCTGGATCTCAGGTAACAACCAATCCAGTGAAACATGCCATATAAAGATATGTGGCCAGAGACAATAAATGACGGTTTCAATACGAACCTCAAATCCAAAGCACAAGGACAAACATTTTGAATCACAGGCATTGATGTGCATGGAGGTGTTTCTGTTCTGGGAATATGTAGCCTGCTTCACAGCTACTAGCAGAAATTTATTTAATTAACAATGGTTAATGATTTTCCTGGAGGCCACCTAGTCGAACATCTGACAGTTTAATCATCTGAAAGCTTTTTCATTCTACTATATAAAAGTTATAGTTAAAGAAATAGCATATAACTGTGGGCAAAGAATCACTAAAGTATTTAAGAAAAAAGATTTGTGCTGGTTACAGTTTTTCAGATCACTAAAAGAATATTCCTTAATTATCAACTGTAAATGGCTATGATAAAACCTTGCTTATACCTTAGAGCTCTCTAAATATGTCCTTATAAATCCTTGCTCTTTTTCCTTACAGAGCTTTCAAAGCATAAATTATATTTAACCATATTAATATGTATATAGTTCACAAAGTACTTCCATTACATAGACTCATTTGAAATAACAATCGAATCTCATATTCTTCCAACTATATACCATAGCACTAATTAAAACTGCAGCTTATATGCAATGTAACTATCAGGTTTAAACCAATCACTCTAATACTCCATTTTAGAGCTTAAACAAAATTAAAACCAGATTGTTGTGTCTCTCACATAAGACAGTGAGGACAGGGGCTACGTCTTCTTCATTCAAGCATCACCAGCATGTAGTTCAAGGTTCATGCTTAATAAATATTTGTTGACTGGATGAAGAGGGAAAGCCTTGGCTCAAATTTATTCTTATGAAATGTTCCCTAACACTGGTCTCCCTCCTTCAGCTGTTCCCTTTTTGCTTTCACATACACTGTCTAGGCCATCTCTCCCGCAGTCCAGCCCTGCTGGCATGGAATGAGAATTTTCACCAAGATCTTCCTGGCAGGCAGAATCTTTCATCTCTAAAAGCAGAATTCTAGATATGTCTAAATTGGCCAGTCTAAAATCATTTTTTAAGGTTGCTGGTGTTGGAGAGTTTTTTTTTTCTTTAATGCAGCAACAACATTTTCTCCACTGGCACTGCATTTTTCATAGATCAGTAAAGAAATATGTCATCCAACTGTGAAATCTGCCTGGGTTTGGGCCAATCTATTTAGAGGTTACAAGGAGGTAGTGCGTACATTTTTTTCAAGTTAGAAGTTAAACCTGTTAAAAGTTTTATTACCTCTTATATCAAACTTCCATCTGAATGGATAAAAGCAGGAGTGTCAGAGGCATCTCTGACTTCATGAAAGACTAAGTTCATAATTCAAACTGTATATTGTTATGCATGAATTAATGTGTCATATTCTGAAATATATGTTCAGAGTCATTACCCAGGACTTCCAGATACAGTTAGTCCAAGCAGCATGTTAAAATTGAGTGTGTCCTCTACATACTGTAGTTCTAACTATCACTGAGGTATTAAGATGCTCCAACCTAAAATGTGTCAGTCACATGTTAGCAACAACCTGAGAAGGGGCACCTTGGACTGTTAGGAGACCAGGGTGAAGCAGACAGAGAATCAGGGATCAGAACCTCATAAACTAGTAGGTGGTCAGAAACTCATCAAGTCGTTTTCACCCCACATTTTCTATCCATAGATTGTCAGAGCTGAAAGGAAACTTAGAGATCATTACCCAACACCTGTGTTTACCAAAGAACTGAGGTGCGGAGAGGAAACATCACGCAGTGAACCAGCAGTGGGGCTGGGAGGCTCAGGATTCTTCCCATGACCATAGCATTGCCTCTCCTAAAAATGGTGCCTTCAGACTGTGAACAGCTTATATTTCTTTCTGTTCCTACATCTGTGTTAATATGAATGGTTCATCTACACACATTGCAGCAATGTGGAAACATACAGCGAAACTCAAATTTTAAAACATGAAAACTTTCCTCTTAACATCATTATTGCTGTGTAGTTACCTTGCTGTCTTTCATCCCAGCTAAATGTTGGATGGCTCCGGATATTCCTACAGCAATATAAAGTTCCTGAAACAAAAGAGACCATATCATTAATATGCATTTGTTATGTTAAAATACCTTCCGAAGTATTTGCTATTAGTAAATAAAACAATGCAATATGTATCACTTAAATTATGTGTTCCTCCTTCCCTGATCCCCCTAACCAACAGTCCTCTTCGTCCTCTGCATTCCTGTAATAGTGGCGGTATACTAATAAATATGTGGATGAGGATTACTGGGCATTAACTAGGTGCCAATCACTTTGTTGATTAACATATTACATCAAATGTTTTACTAAACCTCACAATTTCCTGTGAGGGAGTACCTTTTGTCTGTACATTGGGGTGTCATACTTCAACTCATCATTCTGTATGTATCTATTCACCAGGTACACATATTGTATATTAATATATAAACACATATACTCACATATATTAAAATACATTTTGGCAGTAGTTTGCATTCTCTTAGAAGGACATTTGTTAAAATGGTAACTAGGATACATGTATTAAACTTCATGTTTAGAAAAACCAAAATACAAATCAGTTTCAAGAGATTCTAAACATACACACACATGGATGCATGCATGCACCCGATCTCCCTGAGTAAAAAATAACAAACTTCTCAAAGGCATAGGCTGAACCTTTGTATTTCCAGCACCTAATAGAAGGTCCCCACACTGCAGTTTGTAAGTAAATGTTGATAATGATATCATGATGATGTCATTCCCTTTGTAATTACTTCAGTTTATTCTGACTAGAATTTCTTTCATAAAAGTAAGACAGGGACCATGGGCTTAGGCAGGCAGGGTGAGGGCCTCATGAGAAAAAGCAGAGCAAGATGATTATAGTCAGAACAATGTAACAATGTGCAAAGAAGTCCCTGTTGAGACTCTGTGGTAAGCATCACACAAAGTCAGTCACACTAATTTTCTGTACCTATGTGCTGTGTTTCCTTCTCTAATCTTAATCAAGTAATCTTCAACCTAGGAAAAAGATTAATTTAGTAAGCAAGCCCAACTATAAACAGCCCAAGAAGTTAAGAAGTAAGATTCTTAACACACTTTAGCAAACAGGCAACAACGCAGCCCACCTTGGGGGCAGGGAAGGTGGTCTTAACTGACATGCTCCCAGAGGGAAACTGCCATCCTGAGAAAGAATCAGAACAGCAAATTTCTTCTGTTACTCATCAAAAATGAGCATTCTGGGACCACTCAACAAGTCTGCACACCTAGCACTTTACCCCCATTCCTGAATCCTCAACTGTGCATAAAACCCCTAGACAACGAGCTAACCATGGGCTCTCTTGTCCCCTCCTGGCGTGAGCCGGGAGCTCTGTCCTCTCACTTTATCTCTAAATAAAAGCCTCTAACCTTGCTCTCATACTTTGGGAGTTTGCAAAGTTCATCCTTTTACTCTGTGAGCAAGAGCCCCAGCATCAAAAGGATATTAATTAAATTGTTAATCAAAATATACTTATTAAATCTCACATTCAGGAAAACCAGGCCAACAAGTTCTAATGTAAAGATTTTCAAAGCAAGTTATTTAGACGGACAGATTGAAACGGTTTCATTAACCCCTCTCCTAAGTATACTTACTAAGCAAGCACCGGAAAGGATCAACAGTTCTGAAAACCAGTCCTCCAGACATACATGTGTACATTAAAATTCAACAAGTCTGAAAAGGCTTTCCATTTACATCATAAAAAGATAATGAAAATGTTGATTCACTCTGGCAGAAAACATGTACATAAACCTCATATAAACAGAATCCACTCCCTCCACACACAGAATTGAGTATCTTCATCTTTGACCATAAATGTCACTAAGGAAATAACAGATTCTGGGCCAAAGCAAACCAGAGACAGATGATTCCAAGGGCACTTCTGCCTTTCTGAGGGGCATAAACAGTCCATATTAAGCCCACATGACCAACAGTACCTTATTTTACTGTCTTGCAAAAATGGTTCTCTGAATAAATTAAAAACATTAAAAAGTCCAGAATGAGTCCTGGGATTTTGGCTGCTGTTCTGAGATCTGATAGCTCTTTCAGGCAGTAAGAGAGGCTTTTTTTCTTTTTTAAAACATGTACAGGCAATTAGACTAATATCATAGGATACTGCCTTATGGTTCAGAAAGCATCTTTGTATTTCAATAATAATAATTAGTATGTACAAAACTCTCCACAGATGCTAATTTAGGGAGCACTTTAAGACATTGCTTCACAACACAATAAGGCAATCCCTGCCCTGAGGCACTTTCTTTCTAAACCAGATAGTAAAATAATTTGGGGAGAAAATGAGAGGCAATGTAGGGGAGAACAGCAATTAAGCATTCAAAAAGAGGTAGATTAAAGAATGGAACAAAGAAGAAAGGAGGGGTAATTCTAGTATCCGTAGCAGAGGTAAAATTCTAGTATCCGTAGCAGAATCTATAAAAGTGAGACTAGCTCACCCTACATGGCTGGTAGCAGTTTGGGTTGGTCATTCTGCAATTCAGTAACGGGGACTAGTGGGAAGACATAAAGCCACAGGATGGTAAGAGAAGACCAGAGATTATTCTGAAATACAAAGGACAGCACTTCAATCAAACAAGAAAGAGCAAAAGACAGCACGAATCCCTTTTCCTCTGCTAAACCTAAGAAAAGACTACAGCTAGACCCAACCCAAGAACCCAGGGGCTGGGGTCTAAACTACTTTATGGTGGGCTGAGATGGAAACAGGAATGGGGTTAAGAATGCAGGGTCTGAGTCTCACTGCATAGGTTTAAATCCCAGCTCAGCCACCTGATAGACAAAGGACCTTGAGCGAGTTATTCAAGCTCTCGAGGCCTCAGTTTGCTCAACTGAAAAACCGGGATTATAAGAATCCCCACTTGATAAGGTACGGTGAGACTTCAGTCTCTGGTTCCCCAAGACAATGGTGTGCCACCTCTGACTCGAGGCTTGTTGAAATATTGAGTTCCTTAGCGCACTACGTGGCGAGGCAGACTCCCGGGGTGGTCTCTGTGCTACCATTTACAGCCCAGCAGGTTGTACACTTAACAACTCTGGAGGGCTTTCTTACCAGAGTCAATATTGATCTGTATTTTTGTTTACTCTTATACACACACACACTTATTTATTTATTTATTTATTTATTTATTTACTAGTGCTAATTATTTCTTTTTTGGGTATCATTAATATACACTTACATG